CCAAAAAAAAAAAAAAAAAAAAAAAAAAAAAAAAAAAAAAAATCGTTTGTTTTTTATTTGTTTGTTTGCTGCTGTTTTTGCTGTTTTATGAATCAGGGTCTTTGTGGCCCAGGCTAGTTTCCAACTCTTGTATCCTGTCTCAGCTTCTTGAGTGTTGGAATTGTAGGTGAAGACCACCATGCCCAGAAGGTGACATGGTTTCTCTTTTTGATATAGAGCCAGATCAACTTTGCCTTTTTCCTCTAGTGTTGATGTTCCATTCTGGAGTTTTCTCTTGGTGCTAATAACAGGTGTTTGAGAGGGATAGCACACACCTTTTATCCCAGCACTTGGGAGGCCAGGGGCAGGCGAATCTCTGAATTAGAGGCCAGTCTGATCTACAAAGCTACACAGAAAAACCCTGTCTCGGGGGAAAAAAAAGAGCAGGGCAATTTCCCAGTGCTCTTTTACCCCCCACAATTTACTACATTAATGCCTCAGTTCTCAGTTGATGCTGGAGATAGCAGACACTGTTTACATATGAGGAGAGAAGCCTAGATTTGATTCAAAAGTATGACTATGGTGATACGTTTAATATCAGTGAGTTTTGTTGTTTTGGTAATAGTCCCGGTTTCTATATTTTATAAGGTTGGAAATTAATACAGTCTTGGTGTATGTTTTAAAAATTTGAACTATAACTTCCCCTCTTTTTCCCCTTAGAAACAAGAGTCCAAATTCAAGAGTCTGTGAGAGGAAAAGATGTATTTATCATCCAGACCATCTCAAAGTAAGTGGTTTCTCACTGCCTGCTGGGTGCTCCTGTTAGAGTCTGAAGACCTGGCCACACAGGGGAAGATAGTTTTAGAACTGATGTGCTTTTGCTAGTCTTTATTGTATATGAGTGTCTTATCTGTGTACTGTATGTGTGCCAAGTACCTGCAGAGGTCAGAAGAGGGCATTAGATCCCCTGGGACTGGAGTTAAAGATGGTTGTGAGCTTTGATGTGGTGGCCTCCAGATCCATTGAAACCTGAGCCAGAGAGCAGAACCACATATTCATGGACACTAGAAGAGCCTGTACTCCTCACCACTAAGTCATCTCTGCAGCCCCTTTTGCTAATTTTTCTTTGTTTTGTTTCAAACTCTTGGTATGTTTTCGGGCCAGCCCCAGACTCTTGATCTCAAGAGATGTCTGTGCCTCAGCCTTCCTAGGCAAATATCACCATGACTGCCCTTCATTTGTTTGGGTGTTTGTTGTTGTTTGTTTTGACAGGGTCTTAAGTATCTCTGGCCTCAAACTTGCTATGTCACCAAGCCTGACAAATTGCTGATCCTCCTGCCTCCACTTCGTGAGTTCTGAGACCACAGGCACATGCCCCGTGCTCAGTTTTATATCCTGCTGAGGATTTAACACAGGGCTTTGTGCATGCTAGGCAAACACTCTGTCAACTAAGCTGTGTCTTCTTTCTGTATTCTTTTTTGTTTTGTTTTCTTAGATGTATTTTTTAATTTTATGTATATGAATATTTTATATGCATGTGTGTAAATGTACTGCATGTAGGCCTGGTATATATGGAAACTGAAAGAAGGTATCCCCTGGAACTGAAGTTAGGGACAGTTCTTAGCCATCTCTTTTGTATTTTTTTTTTTTTTAAGATTTTATTTATTTATTATGTATAGTCTTCTGCCTGCATGCCAGCAGAGGGTACCAGATCTCATTCAAGTTGGTTGGGAGCCACCATGTGGTTGCTGGGAATTAAACTCAGGACCTCTGGAAGAGCAGTCAGTGCTCTTAACTACTGAGCCATCTCTCCAGCCCGTATTTTTTTTTGTTTTTTAAAGATTTAATTTTACTTGTGTGGATATTTTGCCTGCATGTATGTACATGTATGTATTGTGTGCATGTGCATGGTGCTTACAGAGGCCAGAAGAGAATGTTAGATTCCCCCTAGAACCTGAGTTACAGATTATTGTATGCTATCGAGTGGGTGCTAAAAGCTGAACCCAGATCTTCTGCAAGAGTAGCAAGTGGTCTTAAGCACTGAGCCAACTTTCCAGCCCCCTCTTCTATATTCATAATGAGGGGAAATAGCCAAGGCTCTTAATGATAGAATCTATTTTTTCTAGCAGTCAAGAATTAAGTTGGTGCTTAGTGTCTGTGACAGGACTGTTGTCAGCTGTCCTTGTCTTTGTCAGGTCCTTACTCTAATCAGATCTTTCCCTGGTACATTGAGTTCTTGGTCTTGACTGGGCTGCAGAAAGCCTGCACATCAGGATCGTCTTTCTGAGATGCCAAGAAATAGACTGGGGATTTGTCACATTCAGATGCTACTGCATGGTATTGGTTGATGAATTGATAGCAGTAGGGATTAGACTAAAAGCCTCCTGAGTTGTACTGCGCCGCTTGCTTCATTTTAGTACAGACTAGTAGCTACTAAAAACCCAAGACAGATTTTAAATGAAGGAAATTCAGCCCACTAACTGACATTTTCCTGTCATCCATTTGCTTGTCTGAGTTAGTGGTGGTAAGCTTGTGTGGTACTCCTGATTGTTGGCCTCAGAGTGACTACTTGTTGCAGTTCCCCTGCTTAGTTAGATAAGCAAATGGTTTTGATGATGATGATGACGATGATGATGCAAGCATTTGCAGGGAAGAACAGTTCCTTTAATAATGGGCTAGATTTTCACATTCAGATGGAAGTACCTAACACCAGCTAGTTAAATTGCTTTCAGAAGGGGATCTTAGCAAGAGATCAGACTGAGAGTGGCCAGCATTTACAGAACTGAGAGATGAAGGGTGACAGGAGGAGGAGACAAATGAATGTGGCAGGAGGTGTGGAAACCAAGAAAAGAATCACAGGAAAAAGTAGTCTTAGTTGTTTTCTGGGGTTTTTTTGTTTGTTTGTTTTTGGTTTTTTGTTGTTGTTGTTTTTTAGTTTTTGGTTTTTCGAGACAGGGTTTCTTTGTATTGCTTTGGAGGCTGTCCTGGAACTCTCACAGAGGTCCGCCTGCCTCTGCCTCCTGAGTGCTGGAATTAAAGGCATGCGACACCAACGCCCAGCTTAATGGGGTTTCTATTGCTGTGAAGGTTCTATTTATGACCGTAGCAACTCTTATAAAGAAAAACATTGAATTGGGGATGGCTTACAGTTCAGGGGTGTAGTCTGTTATCGTCATGGCACAGGAAGCATAGTGACAAGCAGTCAGACTTGGTGCTAGAGAAGCAGCTGAGAGTTACAAATCTGGATCTGCAGACTGGAGGAAGAGGCTTGAGACTCCAAAGCCCGCCCCCAGTGACACACTTCCTCCAGCAATGCCACACCCACTCCAACTAGGCCACACCTCCCTCCCATAGTGCCAGTCCCCATGAGCCCATGTGGCCATTTTCATTCAAACCATCAGAAGGAGGCAGAGGGACATTGTGCATCTACTGTAGGCACAGGTGAGCAGCTGCCTTAGAGGCAGCAGAAAGGCTAAGAAAGAGAAAGACTAATTAGCCAATGGATTTAGCCAAATGTTAGGGGTTTTTGATGAAAGTTGAGGAGCTGTTTTGGAGGACTAAAGAAGCTTCTTTGGCATGTGCATGGGAGAGGAAGAGTGGAGAGGAAGCAGGAGAGTGGGTCTGTAGACTTCTGTCTTGAGGTGTTGTACAAAGAGGACAAAGAACTGGGCTGATGAGGAAGAGGTTCACAGGATGAGGGGCAGGAGGAGGGAGGAATGGGGGTGGCACTGGTTCCCCACAGAGCATGTTGAGAGGGCATGGCCACTAGAATGTAACTTTAGAGTGATATGGGAAGTTTCCCTCTGCTGCCCAGTGGCTGAGTGCATGTGGTGTGGAGAGCTATCTTCTGTTAGTCTCTTTCATTGAGAAAGCAGAGGTCATCTGGTCAGGAGCTGGCAGAGCTTTGGGAGAAGAGGAATTTGTTCTTTTTGTGTCTAATGCTTTGGGTCTTAGTATAGTCATAAGTAACCTGCTAAGTGTCTGACACTGTTTCAGGGATGTGAACACCACCATCATGGAGCTCCTGATCATGGTGTATGCATGTAAGACCTCATGTGCCAAGAGCATCATCGGAGTGATCCCCTACTTTCCTTATAGCAAGCAGTGCAAGATGAGAAAAAGGGGCTCCATTGTCTCTAAATTGCTGGCTTCCATGATGTGCAAAGCTGGTAAGAATAACAGGTTGATTTTGTTTGTTTGAAGCAGTCTCTCAATGTAGTCCTGGCTGTCCTGGAACTCATTTTTAGACCAGGCTGGCCTTGAACTCAGAGATTTGCCTTTCTCTGCCTCCAGAGAAGAAGACTAAAGGTGTGTACCACCATGGCAGATTTATTTTTTACCTTAGAAATTTCAAAGCATTATCTTGATTAGTGTTCTGAACATAGTACAAACAGTGAAACAGCATTTAAAGACTGATAGTTTTTACGGTGGACGCCCTTTCCCAGGAGAAGTGCTACATTTCACATCCCAGCGGAGTGTCATATACAGCAGTAGTACCTTGTCCTGGGGGAAGAGGAGGACATCACAAGACTGGTCACATTATTCCTGGTGACATGAGGTTTAAACTTATTAATTGTTTCTTTCTGGAATTTGTCATGGACCATGGATATCTGAAATCATGAAAAGCACACCACAGGTAAACTGGGGTCTGGTTTAATTAGAAAACTGCAGAGAATTCTGCTTCCAACTCCCTAAGACACAGAAGCAATGAGAACAACTTCAGTTTCAATTTTTTTTCCTGAATTGCTTGTTTAGCATTTATGTTGACATAACAGTTCCAGTCATATTCAAGTTTTGAAAGGGTAAAAGTCATCTCTGCAGCTCCTAGTAGTTCTATTTTTAGTTTTGTGGGAAACTTCCACATTTGAACCTTCTTGCTAGACTCTAGTACAAGAACTATTTTCATTTTACAAATAGTTGTATTTTGTAAACCACATATATTGCTTTCTGTTAAACATTCTCAGGTAACACCCTAAATATTTTATTTATTATGTACAGTATTCTGCCTGCATGTATGCCTGCCTGCCTGCCAGTAGAGGGCACCAGATGTCATTACAGATGATGTGAGCCACCATGGGGTTGCTGGGAATTTTTAATCGGGACCTCTATCACCTTAGCATCTTTGCAGCCACAGCCTAAGTATTAAAACAAAAAAGAAAGAAGGAAGGAAGAAAGGAAAGAAAGAAAGAAAGAAAGAAAGAAAGAAAGGAAGGAAGGAAGAGGGAGGAAGGGAAGAAAGAAAGAAAAAAGAAAGAAAATTATATCTTTTAAATTAGTGTACAGGTTATTAGATTTCATCATGCATTTTAAATACATGTGTGCATGCACACGCCAGAGGGTAACTTTGTCCATTCTTCCTCATTTACCTTTTTTTCTGAAACAGGGTTTCTCATTGTCTTGGAGCTCTCCAAGTAGTCTATGCTATTTTATTACTCCTTCCTGTTTCTCAATACCTCTTTTTTTTCCTCCTGATGTCCTTTCTAGTTTTATAACCCATGCCCACATATTAGTGTGTGTGTGCGTGTAAACATGTGTATATACATATAAACATTAAAGGGTAGGATTCACATATGAGAGAACATGCTTATTTGTCTTTCTGAACCTGAATTACTTTGTTCAATATAATTTTCAGATCCATTTTCGTGCAAATTTAATTTTCCTTTATAGATGAATAAAATCCCATTGTGTATATGTACCACAATTTCATTATCCATCTTTTGGACTTATAGGCTGATTCTGTTTCCTGATGATTGTGAATAGAGCAGCATTATATATGGACACACAAATATTCATGTGGCAGAACCTAGCTGTTCAACTGGGATATGTGGAAGTTTTGTTTTTTATATTTATCTATGTTTTGACTACATGTTATGTCTGTGTACCACATGTTTGCAGTGCCCTTGGAGGTCAGAAGAGGGCATTGGATCTTCTGGAACTGGAGTTGCAGGCTGCTATATGGGTGCTAGGAACCGAAACAAGTCCTTTGGAAGAGCAGCCAGTGCCCTAAACACCTAAGTCATCTCTGCAGCCCCTGGTAGTTCCGTTTTTAATTTTGTGAGAAAGCTCCACATTGCTTTTGATGTGGTCGCATCAGTTTATACTCCCACTAGCAATGAATAGTTCCTGGGCCCTTGACAGCAATTGTTACTTGTTTTTCTTGGTGATTGTTTTCCCTCTAAGGGGAGATGGAATCTCAGAGTAGTTTTGGAGGGTATCTTTTGTTTGTTTGTTTTGAGACTGAGTTTCACTGCATAGACCAGGCTGGCCTTTAAACAGTAGTTCAGGAGATTAAAGGTATGCCTCACCACACCCAGCTTAAAGTAGTTTTAAGTTATGTTTCCCTGAAGGCTCAAGGTGTCAAACACTTAAAATATTTGTTGCCCATCCGTAAGATTGCTTTTGAAAACGGTCTGTTCAGTTCATAGCCTATTATTTGATTTGAGGGTTTGGTTTTGGGGGGGTAGTCATTTTTTTTTATTGTTTGGGGCTTTTGGTATTTAATTTATGTATTTCTTTATATTCTAGATAACACCCCACCCCCATCTAACATGTAGCTGGCAAAGATTTTCTCATTCTGTAGGTTGTATGTTCATTCCACAGCCTAAGTATCTTATATTTGTTGTAAATGCTTACATAGTTCTACTTCTGTGTCAGTGTCATTTACACCAGAAAGGAAATCCAGAGTCATTTAGTGAGTCTTCTTGTCTCAGTGGTGTAATCAAAATACCCCACACAGGCATGCCAGAGGCTAATCCCTCACATTGTGTCTCCACAGCTTGTCTCCTAGGTGATTATGAATCCTATCAAATTGATAGTATTAGTCACTGAACAGACACAGTGTGGGTGAAGGCACCTGATCTTGGTATCTCATACTGGGTTTTGTTGTCTCCGCTAAGGAAATTTCCAGGAGATGCTGTCTGCTGTGATAGCACTTGCAGAAACTTCTTTATGATGATTTAAATTTTAGCATATGTGCTACTAAAGCAGGCACTGCTGCTTTGTTATTATTATGTATATTTAAGGGTTTATTTTTAATTTATGTGTATGTGTGTGAGTATGTGCACATATATATGTGTAGGCTTCCAGAGGCCAAAAGAGGATCTCAGCCTCTGGAACTATAGATCCAGGCGGTTGTGAGTCTCCTGACAAGTGTACAGGGAACCAAACTCATATCTGCAAGAGTTATTGCTGAGTCATCTCTTTGGCCACTCCTCTGTACTTGAAATGGATTGAAATGGAAGTGAAAATCATACATCTTGTATTACTAAAACTAGTAGTAGTAGATTCCTGCCGGGTTTTCATGATAGTAGGGTGTTTGCTCAGTCGTTGTTATAGTATTACAGTACTGTTGACATGTTTAACATGCTTATATTTGAAGGTCTAACTCATCTCATCACTATGGATTTACACCAGAAAGAAATCCAGGGCTTCTTTAATATTCCAGTGGATAATTTAAGAGCCTCCCCCTTCCTGTTACAGTATATTCAAGAAGAGGTAAGCTAGATCTAATATTTATGTTAATATTCTGGAATAATATAGTTCTGTTTCTTTGGGTTTTTCCCCAAAGGACCAAAACTTTTATGTATTCTGCTTAAAGAGCTATTATACTTCATAAGTACAAGTCTCTAAAATTTCTTATCTGTATTTTTTTCCCACTCAGCTCTTTTTTCTTTCCCCCAAATTTTTATGTGTATGGCTGTTTTGCTTGCATGTATGTATTGTACCACATATAGGTCTGGTGCCCATTGAGGCCAGAAGAGGACATCAGATCCCTAGGAATGGAGTTACAAATGGTTACAAGCTCTGATGTGGGTGCTGAGAATTGAACCCATGTCCTAGAAGAACAGCCAGTGCTCATCACTGCTGAGCCATCTCTTCTTCACCCCACCCTCCTTACATTTATTGGCTTATAAGTTCCACATTGCTGACATTTTCATCCAGTTTTCATATTTCTCACCCATTTTACTGGCCTTTCCCCCTGTCTTGGCATCTCATTTCATCAGCCCCCTTTTGTTAGTAAACTCTTTAAAGTAGTATCTGTTTTTTCTTGACCTAACCCTTGTTGGACCACACAGAGCAGATTCTATTCCATGATCTTGCCCAAATGCTTCCAGAATTTGGTTTATCTTATAAATATGTGTGCTCTGCTAATTCAGAAGCCTTTTACATTTTTGGTTCGTGTTGCACTTTGATGTTTTGCTCTTAGGAGCTGTTTGCACATGCAGTGTTTCTCTGTAGCAGCTTTTACAGAGAGCTTCATTTCTTGGTGTTGCATTTGAAGGCAGCACTTTGGATTTCTTTTTAAAGGTTTTATTCATTTATTATATATACAGTGTTCTCCCTGCAGGCCCTGTCCTCTCTGGCCTCCATGGGCATCTGTATATACATGACATGAAATCACATAGACACATACACATACCTGAATAAAACACAGCAAACCTTTAATAAAATAAAGAGAATATACGTTTGTAAATGCGGGAACCAAGACAGAAGGACAGCAAGTTGAGACCAGCCCTGTTGGGATTACAGGGCTACACCACCATACCCAGCTTTCGGTTGCTGGGAATTGAACTCAGGACCTCTGGAAGAGCAGCCAGAGCTCTTAACCTCTGAGCCATCTCTCTAGTACAATTTTGGATATTTCTGAAGCATGTTTTCTGGTTGACCATCCATGTGATAATTAGTTTATTTTTTAAAATAATGTATTTAGTTTTTATTTCATGTGCATTGGTGTGAAATGTATGAACCCTTGGAACTGGAGTTACAGATAGTTGTGAGCTGCCATGTGGGTGGTTTTTTTTTTTTTTTTTTTCTTTTTTCTTTTTTTTAAGATTCCTTTTGTTTTGCCAGTGTTTTTGTTTGGTTGACTGTTATATCTCTGGCAGGGTCTGATGTTGTTTGATGGTAAATAAAGGCATACATAGTTTCAGTTACTTTCCTTGTTTATTTTGACAAGATCTGACAAAAGCAGCTGAAGGAAAGAAAGGTTTGTGTTGACTCACAATGTTAGAGTACTGTCCCATAGTGGCAAGTCACCCCAGCAGGAGCCTGGAGCAGCTGACCGCACAGCAGCCAGTCAGGAAGCAGAACTGATGAATGCTGCTTCTCAGCTTGCTTTCTCCTACTCAGTCCAGGACTAGTCTATGGGGGCCACCCATATTCCTTAGTGAGACCTTCCTGAAAACACTGTACACATACATAAAGGTTTACAGTGAAGATTAACCTTCAGAGCCATTCATTGTGAAATGAATTAGAGTAAGCTAAGAATAGACTACTCACTCATTCAGTTTGTTTTATTTACTGATTTGAGATGGGCTTCTGTTCTGTTACCCAGGCTGAACTTGAAATCTGGGAATCAGGTAATCCTCCTGTCTCAACCTCCTTGAGTGTTCACATTGTGCCTGGCCATAACTTCTGGTAGGTACTCTGTGTAGGCCAGATAGGAGTTACTGCACTTGTTGGTCTAAGACTTGCATACAGCATTCTGGGAAAATTGGCTCCTCCCACATTTGCTCTTTAGCTTATCCCCTCCATTTAGCCAGCTACTGAACTGCTTATTTGGACTAGTAGCTTTTCCTCCTAGGTTTCTTTTTGGTTCTTTCTCATCAAACCTTGATCTTTATAAGGTTTCCTGTTTTGCCTTCTGAAGAAAGAGTGAGCCTGTTTTTATTACAGTCATTTGGTTTCATTAATGGCTTTGTTGGCTGTCTTGGCAGGGTGTGATGTTATTTAATGAGGTAAGGAAGTATGTGTGACTGTTCCGAAAGACTTCTGGCTAAAACACAGTACCTAAACAAGTTTTTCTGCTTTCTTGCCTGAGAAAGGTGGTTGGGTGTGTCTTTCCTCTAATGCAAGTTCAGTCAACATTTTTGTTCCTTTACCTGAACTATCTAACAGGGCTTAGCACCACCTGTGCTAAGATTCAGAGTTGGGGTTAGATAGATGGTTTAGCAATTAAGAGAACTGGATGCTCTTCCAGAGAACCAGTTCCTAGCATCTACAAGGCGGCTCAGAGGGATCTGATGTTCTCTTCTGGCCTCTGCAGTACCAGACATAAGCTTGGTACACAGACAAACATACAGGAAAAACAAACTTTACACATAAAATTTAAAAAAAGAAAAACTGCCATGTTATTGTGAGGAAGCAGCAATGGGAATGTTATTCAGTGCAACAGTGGTACTTAATGAGTTAGTTATATTATAATAATATAGTTTGAAAATACTGCCAAGATGAAGTCAGAAACAGCAAACTGCAGCTCAGCTTAAAAGTGATTCCATTCTGTGTATCGAATACAATAATAACATCTTCCCTAATCATCATTAGCACTAAGTACTTAATTTTTCAACGGTGAAAAGGTTTTCCAAAGTGGCTCATTATTTAGTTTTGTTTTGTTTTTGTTGTTGTTGTTTTGTTTTTTTTGCAACAATCTCATGTAACCTAGACTGGTCTTAAACTACATAGCCAAGGATGGATGGTCTGAACTCCTGATCCTCCTGACTCTACCTCCTAAGTGCTTGGATTATGGACATGTACCACCACCTCACCTTGCTCTAGTTAACTTGGCCTTTCTTTCTTTCTTTCTTTCTTTCTTTCTTTCTTTCTTTCTTTCCTTCCTTCCTTCCTTCCTTCCTTCCTTCTTTCCTTCTTTCTTTCTAGATTTATTTATTTATTTATTTATTATGTAGACAGTGTTCCGTCTGCATGTGTGCCTGCAGGCCAGAAGAGGGCACCATATCTCATTACAGATGGTTGTTAGCCACCATGTGGTTGCTGGGAATTGAACTCGCGACACCTGGAAGAGCAGCCAGTGCTCTTAACCTCTGAGCCATCTCTCCAGCCCCCAGCTTGGCTTTTAAGTGGTTTGTTTGTACACAAATATTATGTAGACCAGGCTGTTCTCAATTCATGAGGTCTGCCTGCCTCTGTCCACTGAACACTGGGATTAAAGGTGCTACCACATCTGTCTGTTACTTTATTTGTTTAAAAGGGCTCTTGTCCTATTCTCTTAAAGTAGCACTAGGCTGACTGTCCTTTCACAAATGACTTTCCTCAGCTTGGAGTGACTACAATGTGTTTGTCAGAACACAGTATTTTGGAATGTGGCATAAACTTGGATTCAGGCTCAATGAATATCATCCTTGTATTGTGAAATTTCATTCAATGTGAGATTCATGAAAAGATTTTGATAGGTTCACACCATTCAGCTCTTAAAATCTAGCCTCCTGGGTGATTGGGATTACAGGCATACACCAGCACAACTGGTTTTCTTCTGTTAATTGTTTTGTTTTAGGGTGTGTGTGTGTGTGAAGTATGCATTTGTGTATATACACACATATATATATATGTGGAAGCCAGAGGTCAGTGTTCAGTGTCTTCCTCAGTTCACCTTGTTTTTTGAGGGCCTCTTACTGAACATGGAGTTCATTGATTAGCTAGATTGGCTGGCCAGTATGCTTTAGAAATCTGACTGACTCCACTTTTTACTCCCCCACTCCCAGTACTGGGGTTACAAACACAGGCTGCCATACTCAGCTTTTATGTGGGTGCTGAGGAGCCAAGCTTTTTCATCATGCTTGTACAGCAGTTTACTGACTGAGCCACCTCTCTGTTCTCTCTGCTAACTTTGTAAGAGCACATTTGTATTATGTTACTGGATTTTTATATATAGGTTAATTCATGTTGAGAACATTTTCATCTTTGTTTCCCAAAGGGAGATTTTACTTTTTCTTCTTGGTGAAACTTCTAAGAGATCAGATACAGTTTCAAATCTGTTGGAATGTTTGTGTTTGTTGGTTGTTGTAATAGCCTCTTTGAGACAAGGTAGTAATCCTGACCTCTTGTCTACCACAGATCCCGGATTATAGGAACGCAGTCATCGTGGCCAAGTCTCCAGCCTCAGCCAAGAGGTAGGTAGGACTACATGGCCTCTCTTGCCATGTCTTTAGGGTATCCCCATTGAATCCCATTGTCTTGTTGATCAAGCTGCTGCCCCTTAGTTTTCTTCCATGGATTAATTTAGTGTTACCCTGGCAGCTCTCCCTGTTACATAGACACTTTAGTATCTGCCAGTCATATTTCATAACCATAGTCATCCCTTCTGAGGAATACTGACCTAGTGCATCTACTGTTACTCTCCAGTCCTGCTTGAGGTAAGATGTCTCAGAAGGTAAAGGTGTTTGCTGCCAAGCCTGATGCTTAACCTGAGTTCCATCCCTGAGACCCATATGGTACAAAGAGAGAACCAACTCCCGTTAGTTGTTCTTTGACCTTTACAAAACACCCTGAGGCAGCTTACCGTATATAGTGCAAGCCAGGTTTTGCCAAGGGTAACTGGTAGCTTGGTGATAAACTACTGCAAACTGGATTTTGATTGAAAGGTTTTCCACATACTAATCACAAGTACTTTTTAGAAAAAACACTGCACCAGAGAGGGAAAGCACAAAAATCACACAGGATTCAAACTCTTCAAAAATTATTTTCCAAGAAGAAAAAGAAACTAAGATAATTTTCCAGTCAAATACCTTGGTTTTCTGGATCTCTAGATTTTATATGTATATAGAAAATTCCTAATGTGATATAATAAATGTGGATCTACTAAAAAAAAAGAAGACAAGAAACAAGGTGGTGTGAAGGGACTAGGGACTGTCATCAGCACAGAAGGATGACATTTTTTTTCATGTAACTTATGCACATCCACCTATCTTTTTGAGAGACAGGCTCTCATTCTGTAGACCAGGCTGGCTTCATTCATAGAGATCCTTCTGCTTCTGCCTCCAAGTGCTAGGACTAAAGTACACCCAGCTCTCCACCTCTGATTTTTTTTTAAGATTTATTTTATTTTATGTATATGAATGTTTAGTCTGCATGTGTCTGTGTCCACCACCCACATGCATGTCTGATGCCCATGAAAGCCAGAAGAGACTATCAGCTCTCTTGGAACTGGAGTTGTAGTTGGTTGTGAACCTCCGTGTATGCTAGCAACTGAAGCTGGATCCTCTGCAAGGGCAGCAAGTGCTCTTCATTGCTGAGCCATCTCTCCTGCCCTGTTCCTACGATCTTTAAATCATCTCTAGATTATGTAATTCCAAATACAATGTAATAAATAGGTCCTTTTGCTGAAACAAGGCAAGAAACAGAATGTATCCATATTCAGTACAGAGGCAAGCCAATTTCTTTGTACTTTCAATTTCTGGTAAAAGTTGAATCCGCAATGCAAACTCCTGAGAATCTGGAAGGCACTGGAGTTTTTTCACAGTTCATAGCTTTTATAGTGCATTTACAAGTATATACAACTGTCACCTGTCACTGCTTGTAAGACTTTATCACCAAAGAAAATCACCCTGTGGCCATTGAGAAATTACCCCATCCTTCTCCTCACCCTACACCTGGGCAGACACTTGTGTCTGTCTGCTTTTGTGGATTCAGTCACAAGGAAATGACCTATGGCATACTTTCTTCACCCAGCACCATGTCCTGGAGGTTCATGCATGTGTGCTGTGTGGTGCCTATGACAGCCTGAACTCTTGTTCAGGTGGGTCTGCCTGGCCTCCCCCCAGTGACTGCTGGGGACAGTAGCTACCAGCTAAAGTGATATCATACAGCCTTTTAGTTTATTATTGCTGCTGTTATTTTGCTGTTGGGAATGGAACTCAGCATCAAACAAGTAAAATGCTCTGCTACTGAGCCACACCCTAGGCCCCAATTCCAAATCATAAATATTGGGGTATTTGGTGATTCTCAATAGAATATTCTCCCTGTGTGGCTTATCCCCTATTCTCTTCACTCAGACAGAAGACACACACATACAGATCAACTGTGTGGCACACTGCTCTTGTGAAGGTTCCTCATAGTTTCCTTAGAAGTGTGGATTCATTTCTTGTTAGAATCAAGCTATTAGATGGCTTACTTAGGTGTGTTTGAGAAGTTTTAGTGTCACAGGACAGCTAAGGTGCATGTGTTATAGTAATGTCACACTTTCTACTAAAAGAGGCATTACGTCTCTTTATAACAATGCACCTGGACAGTGATGGGGTTTGAATGTGGATTTCCCGGAGTGATTACTAGCACTGTAGCAGCACTTTGCTCAACTGAGGAGCAGGTGGGAATGCCGCACCAGTGAGGTTTCTGCCTACCCCGCCCCACCCCCAGGAAACTGGGTTTCCTAGCATTGTTCTTCATATGTCATATAAGTGCTGTCCCTGTATCTGAGATGGTATTGATTTCTCTTTAGCTATTGTGAGCTTGTAGATAAAGCCTGTTTTTAATTGTTACTGGTGTTGGAAAAGCAAGACTAGAATTGTTGGGTCCTATGGTCTTGATAAGATGGAAGGCCCAAGGTCCCACATAGGCATCTGGCCCATTGGGGAGGATGGGTATGATGTGTGGCCAGGGACCTACTGAGGCAAAGTATACAGCAGTGAGCGGTAGTAGGTAGGATTTGAAGTTAAATGATAACATGACTATGCTAGGTAATTTTTGTTAGTTTGACTATACCACTATAATTGTAAACTATAGACAACTGAAAAGAAGGAACCTGAGTTGAGGAGTTGCCCCCATTAAACTGGCCTGTGGGATTCAGTCTGTTGTAGGTGGTGCTACTACTAGGCAGGTCGTGGACAGTGGTGGACTGTGATCAGGAAGTGTAAGCCAAATAATCTTTCCTCCCCAAGTTGGTTTAGGTCACTGCAACTGCAAGCAAACTAGCATAGGAAGGAAGGACAGTGACTTACCGTGGGAGGACTGGTTGTTTAAAAGAAAGCTGAAGTGGCTGGGTTAATAACTGACAGACCAGAGCAGTGAATATTCCCAGGAATAAAGGTCTTTTCATAATAAGAAAAGGTCACTCCTCTCCCCCTCTCCAAAAAAAAAATATTTCTTGGGATGGTCCCCACTTGTCTTGAGTCACATGCTTTCAGCGCTGCTTCCTCCTGAAGGAACATCCTTCCATCAGCCACACTTTTCTGCCTGTGGGCTGACAGGATAGTGGAGCAGCCAACACACAAGACTACCCTTTGTTTATGGCTAAAGGCCGTGGTGATTTTATAGCATCCTGGGCATTTCCCATCCATAAAGTAGGAATTGGGTCTCTGCCCCAGGTGCTTTTTCTTGTGTTTCCTCTTCTGGAAAGGGCTGAAGGAAATCCATTGCAAGAGGATGTTCTCGTAGGGAGGTTGTCACCACCGAAAAGGAAAAAGGGTCACTTCTTCAGGAGGGTGTGGTATATGCAATCATTATGAACTTAGAAGCAGGGTTTCTTTCAAAACCTAGTAGCTGTAAGGAGAAATGGGTATGTCCTCAGGTGGTCAGCAGTCTCACCCCTCCTCTGTCAGTACTCAGCAGAACACACAGCATCAGGAAGGCTGCTTGCTAAGCACCAAGCCAGCCAGGGACTCCACCTGGAGATGGCAGAATGGACATTCTGTGCTGTAAAGGCAGGTCTGAGTTTAAAATGATTGAAGTTGGGCCGGGCAGTGGTGGTGCACGCCTTTAATCCCAGCACTCGGGAGGCAGAGGCAGGCAGATCTCTGAGTTCAAGACCAGTCTAGTCTATAAGAGCTAGTTCCAGGATAGCCTCCAAAGCCACAGAGAAATCCTGTCTGGAGGGGAGGGGGAATGGAGCTGGAGAGATGGCTGCTCTTCTAGAGGACCTGGTTTTAGTCACAGCACCCACATGGTGGAACCTCACAGAAATCCCCTGCTGGCCTCTGTGAGCACCAAGCACACATGTGCACGCTTGTAGACAAAGCACTCATACATGTAAATTTAAATGGATATGTTTTTTAAAATACAAAAGAGATGGCTAAGAATCACTCAGACACCCTCTTCTGGCCTCCTCAGATACTGCACACACATGTTGTACAGACATACATGCAGGCAAAAAACAATTTTTTGTTAATGATTTAAGTCATGCATATTGTATCTGTTCATTTTGGGGGGCAGGGTCTTTCTTTGTAGTACATACTGGCCTTGAATATCCAGCATTCCTCCTGCTTTAGCCTCCTGTAGCTGGGATTATAAATCTTTCCGCCAAGCCACCGGAGCCCCACCGCCCCATAGGCACCCAAAATAACACACAGAGATTAATATTAGGTACAAAGCTGCTGGCCAATGACTAGGATTTCTCACTTGCTAGTTCAGTCTTAATTATCAACCATAACTACTAATCTATATATTTTATAAGAACTTATCAGATGCCAGCGGCAGGCGTCTTCTCTTGCCAGGATCACATGGTGGCTCCACAGAGAAGAGAGGAGCAAGAGAGTGATTTCCTGCTTGTCTCTGCTTATATTCTGAGTCTGCTGTGTTACTTCCTGTCTAGATCACAAGACTTTGCTTTACTACATTTCCCAGAATTCTCCTCGAATCCTAGTCCCACCTATCTTGTTCCCTTATTGGCCAATAGTGCTTTATTCAACAACCAATAAGATAAACATATACACAGAAGGACTTGCATCATCAATGATGCCCATGAGCCACCACACCCAGTGAGGCCCAGGGTTTTGTTATTGTTTTGTTTTGCTTTGTTTTATTTTTCAGGACAGGGTTTCTCTGTAATAGTCCTGGCTGTCTTGGAACTTGTTCTGTAAACCATTTTACTACATTTCCCAGAATTCTCCTCGAATCCTAGTCCCACCTATCTTGTTCCCTTATTGGCCAACAGTGGTTTATTCAACAACCAATAAGATAAACATACACAGAAAGACTTTCGCCATCACTCTATAACCCTCCCTCCCTCTTTCTCTCTCTCTCTCTCTCTCTCTCTCTCTTTCTTTCTTTCTTGACAGAGTTTATCTATGTAGCATTGGCTGTCCTGGAATGCTTTGTAGGCCAGACTAGCCTTGAACTCAGAGATCCACCTGCCTCTGCCTCCCGAGTACTAGG